GTCCAACATGGCTCTACTGTACTTTCAAACAGCCAATCAGAGCAGCCGAGTCTGAGCCCCGTTGCCAATAGAACTGGGAGCCTCGGTCCTCGTTCGGTCCTCAGCCTGAGTCCTGGATCTACTTCCTGTCTGCCCGTGGGAGCTGATCCCTCCATGTGTCCCCAGCCTGCCTCTCATCTGTCGGTGTGCCCCAGGGCAGCTGTGGCTCCCGTGTATGGAGTGAATGGATAATGGGAAGTGTCTTTGGGTGTTATGAAAAGCAATATATTAGTTAAGTGCCTTGAGTTTTTAAACACATTTCCACTAAAATGATCGGAATGAGTCCTATTTTCCATCTGGGCGTTTGAGTTTTTTCTTGGTGTATGGACAGAGGTGATGATCCATGAAACTCTACGTTATTAATTGACATTTATAAACATTTTTGAACATTGGTCTCTGCTCCGTATGGACCAATGGCTCTATGTGTTTTCTATCATTTCTTTGTTTGAACGGTTTGATTTCCTGATCTGAATCGTACAGAAGGACCGTTATTGTTCAGTGAAATGTATCTGTGTGGGAACGAGGCCGCAGCAGTCGCACACATACAGACCAGACGCACAACAGTAAAGCAACACACCTGAGCTCTGGAAACATACACAGAAGTTGGTTCTGGTTTTTAAAGAGACGCATCCGAAAACAAGGTGAATTTCGCTGCTTTTGACCTTGTTAAAAGTTAAAGTGGTTTTTCCTGATTATTCACACATTCAGATACTCACTAGACGACCCTCACTCCTCTGACCACTAAGTTCCGATCTCTGACGCTAAGCAGGGCAGGGCCTGGTTAGTACTGTGATGGGAGACCTCTGGGAACACGGTGGGGCGGCTGTAAAGTGACAAATTGTCGCTGTGTTTTTAGGCAAGACACTTCTCCCACATTAGAATGAGTCTGGTGTGTGTGTGTGTGTGTGTCTGTGTGGATGTTTGGTGGTGGTGGCACAGACTGGTTGCCTCGCTACTGTCAGTGTGCCCCAGGGCAGCTGTGGCTTCAGTAGTTTATCACCACCGTGTATGGAGTGAATGACATGTGAAGAGACTTTGGGGGCCCAGAAAAGCGCTGTATAAATCCGATTAGCATTATTATTGTCGACAGGATCATGACGGACAGAGAAGGGAAAGTACAGTGGGGAACTCCTGGGTAGATTCCCCAATCGTCTCCAGATTATAATCCAGACACTTTCTATTTTGTACTATTTATCCCTTTTTAAACGCCCATTTTAATACAAAGTCAATGTGGGCGTCCCTTTATGGTTTCTCACTTTTTCCCAGTGTTTTGTCTTGACTTGAACCTTGCAGTTAAGATGCGATGAGATTTTACACAGATGTATTTAGACTTTATTGATCTCACACTGGAGAAATGTACATGTCACAGTTGGCATGAATACAATAACTCAGATTGTGCAAAAGACAGAAGATACAGAAGGGTCTAAGGACCGGGCTGATCCAGGACATTCAACATTTATGGATATTGGTCTCTGCCTCATAATGCGGTGTAATTCGGTGTGAATTTCAGTATCGGTCGAGCAGGTTCTTGCATAAAATAGTCAAGATTGTTACTTATTTAAAATTTTCGACCTGGATAATGTTTATTTATTTTGATACTTTTTTATTTTTTCATTTACTAACATTTGGTGTGTGACCTAGAGAGGGTGCCATAAAACCACCCATTTGTAAATTCCATTGTTGCAATAAACAAACGTTACATACATAGTCAAGTCTCGTTGAACACATGTATGACAGTGAATCTAATCAAGAATTAAACCGTCTGTGTTAGCCTCATTTCCGTGTGCCTTTGAACGCATCTGGGCGTTTTCTCAAAGCTTTTTTCCTGCCAATTCTTGTATTAAACCTCGATACATATGAGCACAAATAAATGTTACAATCTGTATATAACAACACAAACTGTTTACATGTCTATCTACACTTTTTGACATGCGCAAACTGAACTTCTGGACAAATCCATTTTCCGTAACAAGTCCAGCGGCCACACTCCTCGTGGTTGTTGCCGGTATAACAAAAATCTCTATCGTTAGGGTTAGGGTTGGGGTTTATATCGCCCAGCCCTACAGGTAGCCACTGTGGAGATTTAGGGCTATACAAAAATACATCTGTGTTTGTGAATCCTTAACCGTGACTGTTTCCCAGTGTTTGAAAAAGTAATTAGTTATAGTTACTAGTTACTTCTCCCAAAAAGTAACTGAGTTACTAACGGAGTTACTCCACTATAAAAATAACTAGTTACCAGTAAAAGTAACTGTTGCGTTCCCTTTTCGTTTTGTTCTGGAACATAATGTGCACTTGACGTGCACGTGTTGACCTTTAACCTTTAACCTCAGTGAGTTTAAATAGTGCCAATATTTCCATCTGGAAAAGGCTGTTTTTCTGCTGAAGTCCTGTTCACTCTTCATCTCTCTCTGTGTAAGCACTAAACACCAACACGCTCCACTGTGAATGTGGAAACACCGGTGAAGCACTGACTTCAGCCCAATCAGATGAACATATATATCATATATATATATATATATATCATATATATATATATATATACATCATATAAAGCAACTGGACACTTTGTTTGGCTACATAAAAATATGTTTCATGCATTGTTTGTTCATACAAAACGTAAAACTATGAGTTATGGGTCTTATCTTATAAATGACCTGCACAGACCACTTTGGTTCAGACCAGTTCTGTGTTTAAGTCCAGATAATAGTTTGAGCGTAGATATGAATCCTCCGTTTGGAAATGAGTCCAATGAGTTTTAAAAAGCAAAACAAAACGCGTGTCTCCTCCATAAACTCCTCTGTTTTGCTGGAGCCGGGTGCATCCGATTTCTAAAACCAACCGTCTTACACTTCACCTCTTTCTTATCATTCCTATAGTCATTGAAAAAATTACCCTAAATGCATTTTAAATGATCTTAAAATGTGTTTTATGTATGTTAGCCAAACCTGCTGCTGTCCTTAGCAGATAAACCAGGAAGAGAAAGGAGCTTATCCATGGAATTGTATGCAGCCTTCTGCGCTCACATGAGCTCCTCTGAGGCCTCACGGTGATACAAGCCGTGGTTGAGTGTGATTAAGACCAATATTTGTTTCAAAAACACAATTTATGACCATCCTCTCAACTGTAGACATGTGGATTGTAAAGGAAATATGTTTTACATCAGCCAATAACTGCTGAGAGGTTTTCTCATCCTTCTCTCATGACAACACGGACACGAGTCCTATCATGAAGTAAAAAGAGAAGTTCATTGTGCGTCTTGAGTAACGCGCAGTAACGGGATGTCGGAAATGATAACGGCGTTATAGTTACAGTCAAAGTAATTAGTTAGATTACTCGTTACTGCTGTTTCCAGGGACGACGTGTGGTTTGGTTCTGTTACAAACACGTGCTGAGGCTGGTCTGGGGTCTGTGGAGGCTGCGACCGTCTGGTAATTTGAGTCCTGATTAGATTGGACTCGGTGCCCCAGGGGTTCGCATGAGGAAATCTAATAGAGCGCTTATGACTTTGTAAATTGGAAATGGGAGTTGAGAGCGTTGTGAACACAGACATTGACACAGAGAGGTTTGTTTGGGGAGGAATAAAAACATCAGAAGAAACAAGCTGTTCTTTTTTGTTTAGACGAGAAAAACCTGTTAACTCAGCTGTCACAACCAGCACTAACATCTACTCACAATATTCACAGCTTTTTACACTGATATAATGTGTTTCTCTTTGTTGTGGCCATTTGGTTTTCAGTTTAGACCTAGAAATACTTAACTACAGCCTCAGTCCTGGGTCTACAGCCTCAGTCCTGGATCTACAGCCTCAGTCCTGGGTCTACAGCCTCAGTCCTGGGTCTACAGCCTCAGTCCTGGGTCTACAGCCTCAGTCCTGGGTCTACAGCCTCAGTCCTGGGTCTACAGCCTCAGTCCTGGGTCTACAGCCTCAGTCCTGGATCTACAGCCTCAGTCCTGGGTCTACAGCCTCAGTCCTGGGTCTACAGCCTCAGTCCTGGATCTACAGCCTCAGTCCTGGGTCTACAGCCTCAGTCCTGGGTCTACAGCCTCTTCAGTCCTGGGTCTACAGCCTCTTCAGTCCTGGGTCTGCAGCCTCAGTCCTGGGTCTACAGCCTCTTCAGTCCTGGGTCTACAGCCTCTTCAGTCCTGGGTCTACAGCCTCTTCAGTCCTGGGTCTGCAGCCTCAGTCCTGGGTCTGCAGCCTCAGTCCTGGATCTACAGC